TTCTCTTATTGGAATTTGTTAAATTCCTTAAACACATGAAATTTCTGTCAAAGATAAATTTTCCATAGTGACATTATTCATGTTYTATTTTTAAAATGTGAATTAATAAACATGAGACATCGAAAAATAAAATAAATAAACTTTTGTGGACCTTTAATAATTTAATAAATCGAATAATAAAAAAACAAATTACTGGTAACCGCAGGATGCTAATACCTTCCCTACACACAAATGACTCGCGAACTCAATCTGATTTACATAGATCAATCTTATTTAATTTCTAATTAAGTGACCCATCACACCCTCAACATGATTGGTGGCGACTCCAAAATCTTTTATTTTAAGAGACTCTTGAAAGAGGGCGTCGGCCGCTCCGCGTCGCGATCACGTTGCGACAATGTGAGTGCGAGTCAAAATGTTCTCCCCATTATCGTGCTCTTTTTAGTCTCCGTATCCACCTCATTCTTGAGTTCGAGAGATGTTCTCGAGAAAAATTATCGGTTTTATAATTGTTTTTAATTTTTTTAGAATTTAAGTATAAAACAAGTGTAATAAATATATATTAATTATTTAAAAATGGAATCGRGGACGGGGACGGGATCGGGACATGCATTTCCTATTTTTGGGACCCAATCCTACAGAAATTTTTGTCATCCCCTAATGTAGAGACATGAAAATACGTGATGCAAATAAACTTTTGGAAGATAAATTTTAGAGAGATAAATAAAAAGATTTAGAAAAAAAATAGTAAAAGAAAAGTTAAAGACAAAAAGAGGAAAATTTTAGAGAAAAAAATTAAAGTCGAGAGGAAAAGATATGTTAAAGAAAAAAGAAATTATAAAGAAAGAGAAAAATTATAATAGAAACAAATTTAGAGATAAAAACAAGATCCAAAATAAATTTTTAGAGAAAATAAATAAATACAGAGATAAATCAAAGTTATAGTAAAAACTTATAGTAAAAGAAAATTAAACGAGAAAATAAAATATAATTTTCAGAATAAAAAATAGATTACAAAGAGAAAGAAAAGTTATAAAAGAYGAAGTTTTAGAGAGAAAAAAGTTAGGAGAGATATTAAATTTTTAGAGAGAAATAAAACTAGTTTATTAGAAAAACAATMAAATATGAAAGTGAGAGTAAATAAAATCTGCAAAGTTCTCATTAATGAATATTAGTCTAATAAATAGACTTAGATCATATTATAGTTACAAATAGAAGTTGAATTATAACATAATAACCAACTAACTAATATACTAATATAGGTTTAATCCTCTCCCTCGAGATGGGAGGTGAACATCTATAACACCCATTTTGGATAGTAAGGTAGAAAAAGAAGAAGTTGGAAGGACTTTCATAAATATATTTGCAAGCTGGGATTGAGTTCGGACCGACAACAGTCTGATAACATCCTCGACAATCTTGTCACGAATAAAGTGACAATCAAGTTCTATATGCTTCGTCCTTTCATGGAAAGCGGGATTAGAAGCTATGTGGACGATGACTTGATTATCACAAAACAATAAAGCAGGAGGCTGAGAAGGAGCTTGTAAATCAGCCAAAGTATAGGTAAGCCAAAGAATTTCACTAGTAGTGGCAGCAAGTGCTCGATATTCAATCTCGGCCGACGAGCGAGAAACGGTAGTTTGTTTCTTAGCCTTCCAAAAGACGAGGGAATCACCCAAAAATATGCAAAAACCAGTCGTTGACTTGCGAGAATCTAAACAGGATGCCCAATCAACATCAACAAAGGCACCAAGCTGAAAAGAACTCAATCGCTTCAATAGAATACCTTTACCTAGACAACCTTTCAAGTATCACAAGAGATTATGAGCTGCCATAAGATGAGAATGACGGGGCTGAGCAACAAATTGACTGAGTTTATGCACAGCGAATGTTATATCAGGTCGTGACAGAGTAAGATATATAAGGTGACCAATAATACGGCGATAGGAAAAAGGGTCAACTAATAACTTGCCATCAGAAGTAGAGAGTTTCACATTAGGATCTAAAGGCATAGAAGAAGGATTAGCTGCCAATAACCCAGAATATTCCAACAAATGAAGAGTATAATTTCTTTGTTAAAGAAATATACACGAAAAGGATCTAGCCAATTCAAGCCCCAAGAAATAACGCAAGGATCCCAAGTCTTTTAGTCGAAATACACTATTAAGATGTCCTTTCAAGTTATCCAAGATAGGCGAACAAGCCCCAGTGAGAATTATGTCATCAACGTATACAAGGAGGGCTACAAAACTATCACCAGAACCGCGAGTGAATAAAGTGTAGTCAGACTTAGATTGCCGAAAGCCAAGATGCAGCAAGGCACAAGAAAATTTATCAAACCATTGCCTGGATGCTTGCTTAAGACCATATATAGACTTATGGAGGCGACAAACTAAACGCTCCCCTTGAGATGCAACCTTAGAATGCTTGTAGCCTAAGGGTAAGTCCATGTAAACCTCCTCAAACAAATCTACATGCAAAAACGCATTATTAACATCTAGTTGAATCAAACGTTGTATCTGTGGTACTTGAGTGACTTGAGTGATCTAGAAACCCAGTCCAGAGGACGATATCGGTATTGACCTACCACTTTATTAAAGCTTGACCCGTACACTTGCGGTAAGCAATTTCTACTACAAGTTTTTGGCGCCGTTGCCGGGGAGGTTGGTTGGGACTCTCACATGGGGGAGTTTTGAAGAGATTTTATGGCAGTTTGCCTTTTTGGCCAAATTGGAGGGCAATGAGACCATTGGAGAGCTTAGAAAAGTGATTTTCAAGGCTCGGGATCGTGGAGGTCGCTTCGGGGATGGACGATTGACACGCCGAACATAGTTTCTTCTCATTTTCCTTGATTTTTCTGGTTTTGTTATGGACTTCTTATTGTGATTTTATTGTTTTCCATTGAATATGAGAAGCTAAACCTCTCATCTCAGGGTGTAGCCATTGAACTGTATGCATTGCTTGTTTAGTTTTCTTGGTTGAATGTTTATTTCCTTTGATTATATTCTCCAATTTGATTTTGATTCTCTAAATAAAATTGAGCGATTGTATCTGTGGTACTTGAGTGATCTAGAAACCCAATCCAGAGGACGATATCGGTATTGACTTACCACTTTATTAAAGCTTGACCCGTACACTTGCGGTAAGCAATTTCTGCTACAAGTTTTTGCCAAAAAACCTCTCCCAAACTCCCCGCTTTCGGCGGCTGCACAACCCTATTTTTATAAAAAGTTATCGCGGCAGCGCCGTGGCGCTATATACAGGGCTATGACGCTACACTATTCACAAATGCGAAATTTAAACTTTGGAGCGCCGCGGTGCTCTAGGCTAGCGCCGTGGTGCTATCTCCTTGGGTTTTTAGCTCCAAATCTTGTTGTTATTCCATCTTGGTCACTTTGATTCCGATTTTTCTCTCATTTTGATCTAAATAAGTCTTGTTTCCTCCCGATACTTTATTCCTGCAAAACATATCTTATGTGCTTAAATTTGTCCTAAAAAAACGAAAACTAACAAATAATTTCAATAAAAATCTCATGAAATGTAGCTCACAAAGTGTGCTATTAAACGCCAATGTAAAGATACAACAATAGTGAGCAAGACTTTTACAGTTACCAATTTTGCAACTGGTGAGAATGTTTCAATGTAGTCAAGTCCCTCTTGCTGAGTGTAGCCTTTGGCAACCAACTTTGCTTTATAACGTTCGATGGTCCCATCAGAGCGGTGTTTGACTTTGTAGATCCACTTACATCCAATAGAATGACGTCCCGATGGTAGTGGTACAAAGGTCCAAGTCTTGTTAGTTTCTATGGCTTTCAATTCTGCATCCATAACATCCCTCCAATGAGAAAATGAGACTGCTTGATGAAAAAATTGAGGCTTATAAGTAGTAGGAACATTAAGAACAAAAGAATTATAAGTTGGAGAAAGTCTATCATAAGACAAATAATTCTGCAGCGGGTACTTGACAGTAGAAGCAGCCATTATATTGGAATTAAGAAGATTACAATGGTAATCTTTAATATATGAAGGAGCTTGAGTAGTTCGGGAAGAACGTCGTGCAACAGGTATGATTGGCTACAAATTAGTTTGCTGCAGAGGTAATGGAACAACAGTAGCATTATAATTATCATGATCAAAACCACCATGATCAACACCATTAGAATTATCATGAGCAGGGGTAATTAAACTATCATGCTCAAAAGTAACATCCACAGAACCATGAGCAGTAGGTGCATTATGATCAGTAGGAATAATAGGTGGAGAAGCAACTTGATCAGAAGCAGTAGGTCCAGAATTACTAGAAGTAGCATTGGTAGTAGGAATAATTGGCTGCTGAGAAATATCAAAAGATCTGGGCAACACCAAATTTGGAAAATCATCAACAATGCTGCTATTCAGTTGAATAGTATGAAATGGAAATAATTGCTGATGAAAAACGACGTCTCTGGAGACAAATATTTTCCTGTTTGTAATATCATAAAGACGATATCCTTTCATGCTTGGTGGATACCCAATGAAAACAGAGGGAATAGCCCTTGGATGAAATTTTGAGCTATGATTAGGCGACGAGGAAGCAAAGCATAAGCATCCAAATATTATTAAAGAAGAATAGTCAGCCTCTTTACCATGTGGACGAGCATAAGGCGTTGACCATTTAAGAACAGAAGATGGGGTTCTATTGATCAAATAAGATGCCGTGAGAACACACTCCCCCAAAATGCAATTGGTATGCGAGATTGAAAATATAAAGGCCGTGCAACATTAAGTAAATGTTGGTGCTTTCGTTCAATTATTGAATTTTGTTCAGGCCGACCAACACAAGAAAACTGATGCAAAACACCCTTAGAGTGAAAAAATTCAGTGAAAGACAATTCTGGAGTATTATCCGAACGAAAGCATTTAATGGTCTTGCCAAATTCGGTCTCAATGAGTTGAAAAAACCAGGGAATAAGGTGTAAAACATCTTATTTCTGTCGCATGAGAAAGACCCAAGTATATCGAGAAAAATCATCTACCACTGTAAGAAAATATTTAAACCAGCCTGAGCAGCAGACTGAAATGGACGCCATACATCATAATGTAGTAAATCAAAAGCCGAATCAGCTATATGATGTGGAGAATCAAATGACAATTTCTTCTGTTTAGCCAAAGACAAATCAAACAAGGACTGTTACAAGTATGGGTATGAGATGAAATCTGTAAAGTATCTTTCAAAACAAGTAAGTGCTTAGCAGAGGGATGTCCAAGTCTATAATGCCAAGTACTATAAGAGATATAAACAGAATTGCAAGTAGCAGCAGGAGCACAATGCAAAACATCAATCTTAACGAGCTTCGTAGAGATGAGGTAGAGGCATCGCCAAAGTTTACCCTTGCCAATCATCCTCAATGAAGACTTGTCCTGAATCGTACAACAATCATCAGTAAAATTAAACACCACTGCAAATGATTGAGATAGTGCACTGATTGAGAGTAAATTGAATCGAAAAGTGGGAATGAACATAACATTCTGCAGGACAATATTGGCATTAATATGAACAGTACCAACAAATTCCACAGCAACGATCATGATTTTGTAACGAGATAGAGATACCAGAAATTGTTGTTAAAGAGATAAACATATCTCGAGAAAAACAGACATGAGTTGAAGCACCAGAATCAATAACCCATTGATTGGACAAATAATCTGGCGAAGAACGGAAACAGGTACCTGCAACATGAGAGGTACTAGGATCTGAATCAACTCCATTCTTTGCTTTTGTGAGATGAGTCTGTAGAAGAGTCAAAAGCCCTTGGCATTGTTTAGAGATCCAAGCGAAGTCACAACATCAGAATTTCCTAGAGCGCAGCAGGGGATGAAGTGACAGGTTTAGGATTATCAGCAGGTTTAGCAGTGGAGTGTCGTGAAGTAGTGGATCGATTGCCAGTGAACCGATATCCCGGAGAATACCCGTGCAATTTATAGCATCTGTCGACAGTATGCCCTTGAATGCCACAATGTGTGCAAACTGATTTATCCTTCTTTTTAGTTTGATATCTAGATGAAGAATAAGATCGGGAGGTGGACGATGATTAAGAAGAACTGCGTACCATCATAACAGTCGGTGGAGCAGATGAAGAATGTGAGTTCGCACGTTGTTGCATCTCCTGAGCAACGAGAGCGAAAGCTCGATTAATGGTTGGTGCAGGCTCCATAAGTAACAATTGAGCACAAATTTGGTTGTATGAGTCATTTAATCCCATAAGGAATGACATAACATATTCTTGCTCGAAGTGTTCATCGAGCAATTTAACGTCGCCACACGAACACTTGTCACAAGAACAGGAGGGGCGATACGAAGAAAGTTTAGTCCACAAAGTCTTCAGGCGAGTAAAATAAGAACTTACAGAAAGCTGATCTTGGACTAAATTTGTCAAATCGCGGCGAAGCTGAAATATCCGTGGTCGATTTTGGCGTTGAAACCTCTCTTTGAGATCGAGCCAAATTTCGTGCACAGAATCAAAGAACAACGCACTGGTCGAAATTTCTTTGGATAACGAATTCAAGATCCAAGAAATAACGATGTTGTCACAAATAATTCACGAATTGAGCAACTCACCAGTAGGACGAGGAATCGATCCGTCGACGAAACCAATTTTATTCTTCACAGTGAATGTAATAACCATCGCCCTGCTCCAAGAGGTATAATTCTCATCTATCAACAAGTCAGATAGAACCAAGCTTGTATTGTCTGAATGATGAAAGAAGTATGGATTATTGTAGTGTTCAACAAAAGTTTGAGTGAGGGAAGAAGACGATTGCACAGTAGGTGGTGCAATTTCCTCTTCTGCCATGGGAGTAGGTGGAGAAGATTCGGGAAGAGAGAAAAAAAATGGCAAACAGGTGGCAAGATAATATCAAACCACGTAAAGGGTAGAAGTGGAGACTCTCACGCAAAAAATTATGACATGGTCTGATACCCTATGAAAGTGAGAGTAAATAAAATCTGCACAGTTCTCATTAACGAATATCAGTCTAATAAATAGACCTAGATCATATTACAGTTTACAGAATAACCAACTAACTCATACAGGTCTAATATAAAAAAATAAAAAATAGAAAAATTGGGAGGAAGACAAATAATAATAAATATTCAAAATATGAAAATTTTAGAGAAAGAAAAATAAAGTTTGTAGAGAGAAATTTAGAAATAAAAAAATTTTAAAATAAGAAATAAATTTTTTAGAGATAAATATGAGAAAAAAAAAGTTAAGCATCAGAAGAAAAAATCAGATTTTGAAAAACAAAAATATCTTTTTGAAATTTTTTTTTTGTTTTTGAAATTTATCTAGAATTTCAAAATGGTTTTTAAAAAACAAAAAATAGAAAATTGAATTGGTTATGGAACAACCTTATTTTTAAAAAACCAAAAACAAAAAACAAAAAATAAAAAACAAAATGGTTATCAAACGGTCCGAAATGATTATCATAAACATACCATTAATTATTACTTTCGGAAAGTGTATCAATTTTTCACCATAAAACACCTCGAATTTTCACCATAAATTCTTTTTATGGAAAATATTTATCTTACTGAAATTTTGTTAATTAACATACTAATTTTGAATCTTAAAAATAATACAAAAACGTCTAAAGTTTCTAAATTTCATTAAAATTGGAGCACAAAATCAATCATTCAATAACCTTTTAAAATTAAAAAATTTATAAAAAAATTTCAGCTCTAATGTTAATTTTCTCTAAGCCCYATTAATTTCATAAGTGACAAATGTTTTGTTCTATTTTTCTTTAATCATATTGTAATTTCCTAATTTATTTTCACTAAAAATTTAAGACTTTAATTTAATGAAAATATGTGTATAGCTGGTGGAAAAATTAGTTAAATAAAAATGGAAAATTAAAACTTCCGTTGCCGGGACTTGAACCCGGGTCTTTCGGGTGAGAGCCGAATATCCTAACCAACTAGACTACAACGGAATCTTGTTTTAAAAAGGTGAATTACTATTTCTATTGCATTCTTAAAGGATGTTTTTAATAATATTTTCTATTAAACTAATTCCAAAATATATCATCTGTCGAATTATTTGTCAGTATATAGTTCAATCGTGTCTTAAAAGGACATAAGATAAAATGATTCTATTTGATTAATTAGTTAGTTCAATCTTTTCCGAGTGAACTGAATAAAGAATATTTAACTTTTTTTAAATAAAAGTATTTTATTCAAAGAAATAAAGTAAACATTATTTATTCAGATGCATCTATTTATTTATTTACTCATTTTAATAAAACTAAAATATAAAAAAGGAGAAAGAGGTTATGACATTTTATTTATTTATCCCTAGGACAAATTTACTCAAACTCACACTAAATACATAAATACACATAAAGAAATAAAATACCAAACAAATTTAGGAGTCTATGAACACATGAATCCAACTAAATAATATTCTAGTCCAATCGTCGCTCCTTTGGTGGAGGCTTGAAACGTCTTTTTGCCTTTGCTTTAATGTCTCTAATAATCTCGTTTTTGATACCAATTCCTCTACAACGACCGCTTGAATTACAATGTTCTACATTCGGGGTAGTAAGAAAATTTGATTCGCAAAGTTGAGGATGTTTTGGACTACATCGCTTAGCTTCATCGCGATCCTTTTTATGCCTACGAAAAAGGTTTCTCGTCGCATTTGTAATCTCGATCATGTCGATGCTAAGTACGAGAATGCAGATAAAGATGAAGATGCTTCTCCTCGAGACAGTAATCATCGTTGACAATGAAAAGTAAATATGATAAAAAGCTTGGATTAAGAAGCTTAAGGAAATGTGGACATAATTTATAGAGGGTTAACTCTTCCATTTTGAGTGTTCTGTTTCAAACCTATGGTTTAAATTGTATGGTTAATAACATTTTGCAATTCTGTCCTTTCTATTTGGTTGTGGTTTCAGCAAAATTTGGAAAACTCTATCGAATTTAAAGTCGATTTAGTAGCTATTTTGTTTTTCAGTTTTCTGCTTTTGAACATTGGGTTAAAATATTTGGTCTCTAAACTTTTAAAAGTAGAGGTGGAATGCGTTACCGCCTGTGAAACAGCAAAAGAGGCGGTATGTCTGAGGAAGTTGTTAACTAATTTAGAAGTTGTTCAAAACATGAATTTGCCCATAGTGGTGCTGTGACAAATTCTAAAGAACTTCGAAATCACAAAAGAAGCAAGTACATCGAAGGAGAAATAGTGCAACGAGGGGACGTGATTACTTCAAAATTAGAAACGATCGAGTCAATATTCTATAAGATACTAACAAAAATTGGAGCTAGGAATTTATATGTAGAAATTGAAGGGCCACATGTACAAAATTATGGGTGAATTCAAAATTTGGTTGGTTCAAACTTTGGAGGAAAAAAATCATGTAGAAAAACCCCACGGTTCTGGCGACTCTGATCCCAATCTTTACAAAATTTCTAGGCTTTTCCGAACTCTTTTCTGTCTCTTTTTTGTCTCAAATCTGCATATCCATTTCTGAGTTTTCAATTTGTGGGAGAAATTTTGGTTTTCCAATTTTAAGATAAATTTTGTTCATGTCCATCTAAGTGTTTCATTTTTCAGAGAAATTTTGTTATTTCCGTATGGGTTTTCTATTTTCGAGAACCCTTTAAGAATTTCTCCAAAATCCAACAAAAGAATCAGAAAAATGCGAAGGGAATGGAATGATGAGGTCTGATTTATGAGCAGGGGTAAAATTGAAATTAAAGACCAGAAATTCAACACAGTAGAGTGAGAGAATCTATGAAGTTGATGAGTCGGGTAAATTTAATTCACTCTCCTCATTTGTGGGGTTGAAAAATTACATCAAACCCCAACAATTGGAAATCATAATAAATGAGGATGAAACATGGTTCAAACAGAGGACATTCCACTCTGATACCATTTACCCAAAAGCTTAAGCTTATGAGTTGGGTAGATTTAATTTATATATTGGATACCTAATATTTTTATATCTTTCTTTTTAAAAGCCTTAAACCTGCAACCCTAATTTTGCACAGTGCACATGGATCTTAAGTGATAGTTCTCTTAGATTTCTATTTCATCTAGCAAAATAGGGGATTAAATCATTACTTTTGAAATTTAAAGTTTAGGGATCAAATCGTTAATTTAGCGAAAATTTAGAGATCAAATGTGTTTTTTAACCTAAAAACTATATGTTTGTTTACTCGCAGTTTCTTTGCATGCTTATCACATTTGTTAAAAACACATTTGAATCCTTAACTAAATTTAAAAATCAAGAAAAAGATTTTAATAACTTATTTCTAGTTTTCAGAATGAATCACAGAGATGAAAGTTATATTTATAATCTTAATTTTCAAAAACACAAAATTAAACAACAAAGTAACTATCAGATTGAGCCTCAACACTAGTTTAGCCATGACCATTAATTTAGCCATAAAAGTCATAATCTATTATCAATATCAACTGCCTATTTATTGTTCTATTAAAGAATTGGGAAATGACTTTGGAACGAAGCTCCATGGTCCCTCTACCAGAAGTGGCAATCGCTGTTGTTGATGCAGAATTTCATCGAGCTTCGTAGATCGGTTACGAGTAAACTGGAGTGAGCTATTGAGGTGCGATCTTTGAGACAACGGGATCTGCACAAGGAACGAAACTTTGACGCCCAAATTCGTGTGAGCTCGAGCTGTAGTAGGTCATTTTTGGACAAAATAGCGTACTTGGAAATGTGGGGTGTGATGTCCGCAGGAAGGGGAGACAAGACCGTTGGCATCGTTCCGACCAGCGATACAGCTGTCAGGCCCCCAGGTAAACAGTTGACCTGAGGTTGGATTCTTCAGGTGGGTGAAGCTTACGTGTCTCAGATCGACGGGTACGGATGGTCCGTTTTATCCCTTCTAGTGACTTCGAACTAAACAGCAATGTACTCATGTCAGAAACTTATTTTTACAACACCTCTATACTATATATGTTGTTTCAGCTTCATTCCAATCAGGCAAAATAAAAGGGAGGAATTGAAAAGTTATGATTTTGCAAAAGAGACATGGAATTTCATAGGAGTTTGGAGATACATAAAATATAGTCTTGCTTCAAAGTATACGAATGCCAACTTGAGTATAGTTTAGTGGGTTAAGACATATGTATCCAACCATGAAGTTGAGAGTTTGAATCACCCACCCCACATGTTGTACAAAAAAAAAAAATATATATGATTTGAGCGTTATAATTATTTGAATTATAATTAGATTATTTGAATTGGATTTCTTTACTTATATTACTAGGAATTATACTATTATAAATAGGTTATTAGGTTTTTATCTAGCAATTCAATTTAATGAAATCTTATTTGTTGTTCTCCTTATTTTCTCTATTCTTCTGAAAAGTTAACATTATTTACTCTAAAAAATTGTTGCTAAATGTTTATAAATTGCTATTATAATATCAACAATTGTAGCAGTTATTAGATGATTCTAGAGGTTAAGAAATTGTGCTTATCTTGCAACAACGGTTGTATAAAGGGTTGCATTAAGAAAAAAAATAAATGCTAAAATATGGTTACCGGTTTTATATACCATTGTTATATTTCTCGTAATACTGGTTCTATGAGCGATTTATGAACTGTTGCCAAAAGTGCTGGAACGGTTAAAAATAATTAATGTAATATATCTATTTTGTTATAATGATAGAATATACCACTCTTATTTTCATTGAATCTGTTGTTTTTAATTCATGTCGTCAGATCACCAACCAAAATTGAAATTCAATAAAAAAAATTAAACTTAAATAAATGAATATCTATTATAAAACTAAGAACAAGAAGAACAACACAGCGATAGAAGAGTTAAGGTATGAGATTTGAGAAGGAATTAAAAGGAATATTGAAACCTAAGAGGGCTATAGACATCTATTTTAATGTAATATTTATAACAACAATTGAACAACATTTATTTTCTTTTTCCTTTCATATACATTGTCACCTTTTTTTCAAGTTCAAGGTTGGATTGGGAATTTAGAATTTTCAACCTTTTAGTCCGAATATCATAACCAGTTGAACTATGTTCATATTGGCTATATAACGACACATTTGAAGTTCTTGATACAAAAAAAAATAATAATAAACATATAAACTTCATTAAGAAATTTTTTAAAATACATAATGAGTCTCGTTACCCAATTGGACGAGCTTTGTTATGTCTATTGAAAATCCTTGCTTTAATGTCTCTAATAATCTCGTGTTTGATGTTTAACCCTACTTGAAGTGGGTTGCTAGCTCTATGTGGTTTGCAATGTCCTAGCTTGCATCTTCGACCATGACCATGACCCCGAGCACCACCACCTGCGTGTGGGAATTGAGGGATGAATAGAGGGATATTAGGGACCATTAGAGATCGATCTTGGATAATTCTCGTTGCATTTGTGATCTCAATCATGTCGATGCTGACCAAGAGAACAATGACAATTGAAATGAGCATGCTTCTCTTTGAGACCGTCATCATTGACAACGCGAAAACGATTGCGATGAGATGAAGAAGCTTAAAATTTATCAGCATTTATATTAAATTAACTGTTCCATTTTAAGTGATTTTGTTTAAAATATAGTTTGAATTGTATGGTTAACAACTCTSTGACTGTTGATTCAACCAAACCACAAACTTTATTTTAACTTTTTCTTTCTATTTTTTTTCTCTTTATTTGCATTGGTTGGCCTATGAATTTCTTCTTTTATTCTGTAGCCTTCCATTATAAATTTGCTAATTATAAAAAATACCTCTAATAGTTGAATTTAATTTTGCTCTAAATATTTTTAGGTTTAGGTCTTGTACTTTAACGGTGTCTAATGAGTTCCTAAACTATTTTAGATTCTTTTTCCTAAAACTAATGAATTTATTAGACGTAAAATTGAATTTCATGTATAATAGAATCTTAGACTCTCAATTTTGTGTCTAAGAAGTTCATAAATTTTAGAAAATGTTGAATACATCAATGACGATTAAACACAATATCGAAAGTTTAGAAACTTGTTAGATACTTCTTGAAGTTATCATGTTACTATTTTTTTATTTTTAATAAAGAAAAATAATTTCGTCGCTTTTTCAGCGATAAAATTATAAAAATCGTTTTGGCAAAATAGTTTCGTCGGAGACCCATTTTGACATGCGACAAAATGATTTTCATCGCCTCGTCAAAACGACTCCGTTTTAATTTTCTCATCAAAATGGTAGCGTTTTTGGGGGCGACAAAAGCCCTTTCGTCTCCTAGCCCTCTTAAATGGAGCCCCAACCCCCTTTCTCCTCAATTTCTTTCTGCCTCTTCAATTCTCATCCATTTTCGTACTCCACCAAGGTTGCCGCCGTCGGTTTCTTCACAATAATCATGATTTCAATACTAGGTAAATGTATTTGCTTTTTGAGTTTTATTTTTGTATGTCCTATTTTGCGTGTAGAATCATTCATGGTTTGAGGCTTCTTTTAATCGGAGTTCTTTCATCGATCTCTCGTGCATTGAAGGATTTAGTATTATTTGGTACAAATTTTTCTCTTTTGATTTTATTTAAAGTAGGTTTATTATTTACAATTGTGTTATGTTTTGTGTAGGAGTCAATAATTAAATTTTACTTAAATATATATGTTTGGAATTTCTTTAATTTTTTTTAAGACTTTGCTTGTAATTAAGTTAAGATTTCTCTTGTGCATGAAAAATTTAACATTATTTGGTACAATAATTTTCTCTTTTGATTTTATTAAAAGTATGCTTATTGTTTGAATGGATCTATGTATTATGTTTGAATAAAGTTAAATTCTTAATGAAATATATTTGTTTAGAGTTTTTTTTTTAAGATTATTCTTTGTAGGTTTTTTTGTTAAAGTTGGAATAATGAAATTTGCTTCGAACTATGTTTGGAATTAATTTTGTTGCTTAGAATTTGCTTTAAATTATACTTTTAATATATTTGCTTTTGTTTGTTAGAAAACGACGACTTTAAATATTATAGTTGTTTAAAGTTAGACTAAAAAGTTTAGGATTTACACGTTACTCAGATATGAAATGTCAAAACTTAGTATGGAAATGACCATGTGATGTATGTGGAAGGTCGTTTGTACGCGTATGGAATGTGTCCTTATAATGTTCGAAACATATACATTTCATAGAGACGATGTGTCCTTATATACTCGTGTGGAATGTGTCCTTATCAAATTTTTTGCAGGAACAATGTCATCAGGTAGCGATTTGTAGTAGTGTGTTATATGTTGTGTCTCTCATTATTGTTAAATAATCTATTGCTATAGAAAAAGGAAGATGGGACATATTTGAGCCATTTGAGTTGCTTTACGTGACACATTGTCATCCGACAAAGGGTTGGATCAACGAATCCACCCAAATTGAATATGTAATTAAGTACTAATATGATGATATAAATTTAGTGGTAATATCTATTCAGAATTCTAGCTGATATATTTAATTGTGTAAGACAAAATGGTGTAGTTAGTAGAAAAAACAAAAGAAGAAGGCCGAGAATTAAGTGAAGAAGATGTTATGGAGATGRCATGAAATTATTTGGGCAGGATTGAGACATAATGCATGATGATCATGTTGTGTTATGCTCGAAGATTCGGTAAACTTGTAACTTATTATATTAGATCAATATGTAAAATACTTATATTTTGACACGTACATATATTTTGCTTTTCAAGTTTGGATATATTGTGTATTTAAAATATGTTTAATTTTAAGTTTAATGTGATTTATCATTTCTATTATTATTTATCCTATGTTTTAGAATGGTAGGAAATATAGTCATACTAGTAGATAACATTGAAGTTTTGTTCCTATTTAGCGACGTAATCACATAATGTCACAATAAAAAAAGAAAAAAAACATACAAATAAATAAAAAAATAAATAGAGACGAAAATAAATCGTCACAAAGCATTTTAGTAGTTGAATTATGGATTTAGCGACGAAAATATTTTCGTCGTTAGTTCCAGCGACGAATATTATTTTCGTCGTTAAGACCAACGACGAAAACATTTATGTCGCTGAGCTTAGCGACGAAAAGTAGTTTTGTCGCTGGGCAAAATAAGAAGTTCGCCGTTGAGGTCAACGATGTATGCCCTTTCGTCGTTGAAGCTCAGTTTGTTTCCAAATTTCTATACAATTTCGATGATGTTCCCAAAAAAGAAGAAACAAGAAACATAGGACTCGTTTGATAACGTTCTCATTTTTTGTTTCTCGTTTCTAATTTTATTGGAAAACCTAAGAATTTTGCAACTAATTATGTTTTTTGTTTCTTAATTTTTTGGAAACATTCTCAAAATTATATAAAATTTTTAAAAACAATCAAAGAAAGTTTCTTGTTTTTTCCGTTTCTAATTTGTTACAAAACATAAATTTAAATATTGTCTGATCAACATTGAATTCATGGGTTTGGGAGCATGCAAATTTATTTTTCTTTATTAAAAACGAGTAAATAGAAACATGAAATGAGAACATTACCAAATGGATCCATAGTTAGTTGTAAAATGTTTAGATTTCTTATAGAAAAAAAAAGTCGAAAACAAGAAACGGAAACATTACTGAAACTATCCTAACCTAAAATATTAAGAGCCAAAAATTAAAACCAGCCGATATCAGAAAAAAAAATTGTATAATTTACTTTGTTTTGTTTTTATGAAAAATTGTATAAATTAGTTTGTTTCAGTTTTGCTCACAGCCTGTGTAATTGGTTTTAATTTTACCATTCACGTTGTAGGAGTTCCAATTCTTTTTTACCGCCAATTTGTTAATTATGTGGTCATTTTAACGAAGAATAGTCTTTTTTTTTAATCAATAAATTAATGTAATTAAGGTAAAGTTGAAAATTTTAAGATGCTAAACTACTTGGATAAAAAGGAATTTCGTATAATGCAGTGTAACAGAAAAAAGAAAGTTTAAACACTCTTTTGTTCTCTATCATTTCCATTTTGATTTCTATACCGAAAGCGCCTATTTTTTCGATATTTTCAACATTTATTTATTTTTATTCTTGTACTTTAAAAAAAGTGGACATTTTTAGTCCCTATTTGTAAAATTTTAATACAAACTTTATATACCATGGAACTTTTTAACGTAAATTTGTGACTATATTTAAAGAGATTTAGTAGTCCTTTCTATAACAATTTTATTTCTAATTTTCTATTTTTAAAAATTATGTTTGCTTCCTCACCTTTTTTTTTTTTTGAATGTTTTTCATCTTTTTCAAAAAAACATATTTGAATTCTTAGAAACAAAATTATAAAGCTCCATTTATGATCTCGGTGATTTTAAAAAGTGATTATTTTTTATTCATTTCATTTTTATTTTTATCATCAATCATTAAATTTCTTAAATCGTATTCATAAATTTGTATTAAAGAATTTTCATTGAATATAAAATTTATAAATTTAAAGTACAATATGGACCGACCGAATTGAACATTTTGAAACTAGTATTTAAACTAATAAACTACCTGAACCATATTCTAGACCCAAACAAATGAGCTCCTTCAATACATAATCGAAGATTTTGGATTCCAAATAGGATATTCTCAAAACATAAAAAATGACTCACTTATGTGGAACTTTATTACAAAAATGGCCAAAGCATGATTTTTCATACATTGTAGTTGCCAACAATTTCCATATTCACCTGCAAAAGAAGACAGCATTCTTAGGCACACAAGACACGCACGAATTCTAAACGAACAATATCAAACAACTTCTAAAGTCCGTTCGATAACAATTTCATTTTTTAGTTTCCTCGTATATTTGTTAGGTCCGTCATTCATCTCAAACACATTTGAATTCTTAGCCAAATAAAAAATAAAACAACCACAAAAACAACACCAACAATTTTACAAACTACATTTTTTAGTTTTCAAAAAAAGTAGTAAAGAACACACAAGTGGAAGCAATGGTTGTAAACATAATTATCTAAACCAAAATAGTTATCAAACAAGCCTAGAACCTTTTGTATTGATAAATTGAATAGAGACCCAAAATATATATAACATTTCAGAACACATCAAAATTTAATTGCCAATCAAGTTATATCAACTGTCCTTTTAATCTGCTGATGCAATGTATTCAACAGATTGTAAATGATGTTTCTTTGAGGATGCAAGGAATCTCCAGCTAAAAAAAAGTTCTTCTTTCCTTCCACTTCAATCCAACTGCAACCAGGTGGCTTTTTCAAATCCTTCTCTCTCATCAGCTTTCTTACTTCCAGCACCCCATCCCATTTTGAATCTGCAGCATACAGGTTTGACATAACTACATAATTTCCTATATCATCACTTTTACTTTCAAAAACATGCTCTGCCACAAGAACCCCCAACTCCACTTCATGGTGGGTCTTGCAGGCACCCAACAGTGTCCCCCATATGTTAGCATCAGGCTCGACAGGCATCCCGATCGCAAAAGAATATGCGTCGTTGATTCGGCCGCCCCGAGAGAGGAGATCGACTACACAAGCATAGTGTTCCATGGTTGGTTGCATATGGTGAACCTCTTCCATAGAATGAAATATGTTTAAACCTTGATTTACAAGACCGGTATGACTACAAGCAGATAAAATAGCAGTCATGACCACGTGGTCTGGCTTTACGCCAGACTCGAGCATGTTATTGAAAACCTTGAGTGCCTCCTCTCCCTTCCCGTGCATGGCATACCCACTTATCATTGACGTGAACATAACCAAGTCCTTCTGAGAGCTTGATTGGAAAAGTTTATACGCACAGCCTAGGACTCCGCATTTTGCATATGCGTCGAGTAAAGCTCCCTCTAAGTAACCATCCTCAAAACATGATCTGATTGAATATCCATGGCATTCTTTCAACAGATGGAATGATGCCATTTCATTGCATATGGGAAGGAGGCTCATAATAGTCACTGTATCTGGTTTCATACCCTCAGTTTGTAACCTACGGAAAAGGCTGAGAGCATGACCAGGACAATTGTTTTCAGCATAAACCCGAACCATCAGATTCCAGGTTGTAAGATCAGTTTCAGTCATCCCGGAAAATATCGTAAGTGCATCATTGGGTGACTTACAGTTAACATAGCAAGAAATCATTGAATTGCACGTCACCAAGTTTCTTTTTCCTGATGAGCTTTCAAAAATCTTTAACGCATAATCTATATTACCACATTTCGAATATGCATCAAGAAGAGCATTGACCGTAGTAGGACTAGAATCACCTTCAAACAAACAAGCTCTAACCGAATAACAATGAGTCTCCTTAACTTTCCATACTCCTGAAACTGTGACGCAAAAACTGATTATACTCAAGATAGTAAAAGAATCAGGTTTGAACCTTTCTTGCAGCATCCAGTCAAGGAGATGCACGAACCGAGTACCGTGCCCGGGCTCGGCAAAAGCATTGAGCATTGAGTTCCACGATATCAAATCTTTCCTAGAAATCAAGGAAAATGATTCAAATGCTGATTTTACATCATGACATTTGGCATAGAAGCTAACTAAAGCATTTCCAACTGCTGAATCTTCTCTTAAGATTGGATGACGAAGAATATAACCATGGATCATTTTCCCCACTCGCAAGTTTTGGGAGTATGCACAAGAAGGTAAAGCACTAATCAATGTTACAGAATCTGGCTCAATCCCTAAGCTTAGAAACTTGCAGAAGAGATCTACTGCTTCCAACCACTCATCATTTAATGAATACCCAGAAATGATAGTATTCCATGAAACTAAGTCTCTCTGCTTCATGTTCCGGAACAAGATCTCTGCTTCTTCCATCTGTCCAACCCTCAAATAAAGGTTCATCAATGCATTGCAGACAGAAATATCTTCCATCAAGTTAGTCCTGCGGTGTACATAACCATGGATCTCTCTCCCAAAGCGGTACGAAATATTCTTAGCAAAGGAAGCACAAACAGGTAAAATACTAGCAATTGTTACATAATTTGGTTCTATTGGTTCTTCCAGCATCAGATTGAACAATCGTAATACATCAAACAATAAATTCTTCTCTGCTAAAGCAGAAATTATAGCATTCCATGAAACAACATCTTTGTGAATAATGCTGTTAAATGCAGCATATGCATCGTATTGCAGTTGCCCAGATTTGGCATACATCGATATGAGAGCATTTCCAACAAGAGTATCCCTTTCCAATCCAGATTTCATTATGTGGGAATGTATGCTCTTCCCAACACCAGCTTGCACTACGCGAGCACAAACCGGAAGAATGGTAGCAATTGTAATAGCACTTGGCTTCACTTCCCCCTCCGAATGCATCTTAACAAACAATCTCATAGCCTCAGTATCATGTACTTGAGACCCACAATACCCAGATAATATTATGTTCCAGGTAACAACATCACGATGATCCAATTGTTCAAATAGTTTCCAACAATCATCAAAAACACCACATTTGGCATACAAGTTCAGCAGTCCTTTGTACACAGACTGGCAAGCCAATTCCCCCTGTTTCACTAAATAACCTTGAAGTGCCTTTCCCACGTTGACGGCAGAAAGAGCAGCACATGATTTGAAAACAGCAGCAAAAACATGGTTATCAGGCTTAAAGCCTGATGAGCATTGGAACTTTTGAACAAAAAGGCAAAAAACTTCTTGGTGTTTTGCATTTAGACAAAGATTTCTAATCATGGAACTACATGACATGAAATCCAGTGGATGCATTTCTACAGGGAGCTCTTACAGCTTATAGTCCAATCACTGGAATTGACAAAATTAGTAAGTTGGCAACACTCATCAATGCCTTCTTGAAACCAACAAGGTGTTAGGTACCTGAATACAAAAACCTAACAAGAACTGATAGCCTTTCGAGAGGATTATCTCTCTCCCGAAAAACTCTCTCAAGTTCCTTACCAAAATACAATTCTCCAAGATATCCTTCTCCTCTCCCTCCTACTCCTATTTATAACAAACTCACCCCTAATAGGACTCTCACATTGCCCCGCCCTTCAAAGACACCTTGTCCTCAAGGTGTGCATACACAAAAACAAATTTACTTCTTTTTTTTCTGTTTTTTTTTAAACACTAAACACAAACAAAAAATAGAGAACTATCTCAAACCCTAGATGAACTGTTTATTCTAACGGATGAGCGACCGACGGAGTGCGATGGTGGCAGTGGTGTGTGACAAACAACTGTGGACGATGGTGTACCACGGCGACGACGTACGGCGGATGGTGGCGGCAGCAGACGATGGCGCGCCGTGGTGTGCGAAAAACGATGGCGGCTTTGGTGTGACGAACTTCGGTGGGTGATGGTTTTCACCGGCGGCATACGGCAGATGACGGCAGCGGCAGGCTGTGATGGCAGACGATTGATGACAACTGCAGATTCCTAGGTGGAAGGCGGCGGACATTGAGAAGGTGGACGGTGGAGGCAGGTTGTCATTAAGATGGAGCCTCCCAATGACGGCTACTAGGGTTTCTCCCATCTCATGGGTAGGGTTATGCCACTTTTTTGACCCGGTCTGAAACCCAAATCTATCTTGCCCAACCTCCTTTTCTGAATTAAAATGGGCCTCACCACAGTCATTTAATTTCAGCCCTCTGAGCCCAGTTCTCTCTTCCAGCCCAGGGTCCAGCTTTTCCACAGAACCTTCTTCTTCCTTGCCCTTCACGTGACTCACGTGGTTAGGGTTCCTTCTTCCTTCTTTCTCTTGCGACCCTTCTTCTCCTCGAACCTCCATGGTTGCCTCTTCACAGAACTTCCAT